ATCAGAGGAGCAGGAAAGCTGACGTTTCGGGCCTAGACCCTTCTTGCTGCTTGGCCTGCTGTGTTCATCCAGCTCTACACCTTGTTATCTCACAATCGATATTATCATGCTTTATTGTATGATTCAGAGAAATTAACTCTGCATTAGCAGATACAAAATGGAGAAGCTCAGCAGGTCGGCAGCATCTGTAGAGAGAGAAACAGATTTAATGTTTCAAGTCCAGTGATCCTTCATCGGAACAACATTAGCTGATGTTTGAACTGATGTTTTAGGAATGTGTTCCAATATCTACAATTCTTAAACTCATGATCTAATTCTCAGATTCCACCCCTCTCTCCATTTCTTTCCTGCAGTCTCTTGTTTACATTTTCTGCTTTTGTTTTCCTTCTGTTTGAAATTATTAACTGTTTTTGTTCAGTACTTTTATTTCCTTTATATCAATATATATTTTTGCCTTCTCTTATCCTTTCCTTCTGCTGTGCATTTGCGGCATATCTTTTTGGAATGTAAACTGCCTAACTAACTCACTATCATGTGCATCGTTAGATTGAAATAGTGAAAGAATGAATAGCAATTTTCATAGTCTCAACACACTTCTTATTGACTGGTCACATTTCCATGTTTCTTTATTGAGAACCCATTAGAGATGACTTATTCTTTCATGAGATGGAGAAATTACCAACAGTATGGTATAAGCCAACTTATACTCTTATACTTTAGTATTTCCTGAAGTTAGTGTCAAAGATAGCAGCAAACTGCATCCATAATCAGCATTAACTAGAGTGTTCAATGGATATTTTTTGTACCGTAGCAATGTTTGAGCGGAGTTCCACAATGGTCAGTGTTGGAACCCATGCTCTTCCTGAAGCATGTTAATGACATACACCAAGGTTTATTGGACATATTTCAAAATTTGAGGACGATGTGAAACTTAGAAGTTTTGTGAACTGTGAGGATGAAAGCATCAAACTTGAAAGCTACATAGGCTTCATGGAAAGGGCAGACAAGTGGCAAATGACATTTCACACAAATAAATGCATGCGATGCATTTTGTTTGGAAGAGCACAGATCAACAACATGAAACAAAGGGTACAATCCTAAAGATGTTGAAAGAGTAGAGGAGCTGGGTGCATATGTGTGTTTATCATTGAAAGTGGCAGGACAAGTTGAGAATAAAGCATACAGAACCCTAAGCTTCATTCATCAGTGCAGACAATATAAAAGAGAGGAAGTTATGTTGAATGTGTCGTGCACTGATTTTGTCCAAACTGGAACGTCACATTTAGTTCTAGACACTGCACTTTAGATAAGATGTGAAAGTTTTAGACAGATTGCAAGAAAGATTCTTGTGAATAGTCCCAGGAATTAGAAGTTTCAGTTACATAGATAAATTGGAGAAAATGGAGCTGTCTTCCTTGGTGCAGCAAAGGTTGAGAGGGATTGAAAATCATGAATGTTGGGCAGGGTAGACAAGGAGAAATTGTTCTTTTTGTTTTAAGGGTCAAGAACAAGAGGGCACAGTTTTAAGGTATTGGCAAAAGAAAGGAAAGAGGCATGAGGAAAAATGTTTTCACACTGTGTGTGGTTAGGGTTTAGAATGCCTTACATGGTTGGCTGGTGGAAGCAAGTTGAATCAAGGCTTTCAAGAGGAAGTTGGATATAACAGAATGTGCAGGGAGAAGATGGGACAATGACACTTAGTGCGTTGCTCCTTCACAGAGCCAGATTAGACATGATGGACCAAATGGCCTCCTTCTGTACTGTAACAGTTGTGATTCTGTGAACTAAGTTAATCCAGGTCATAATTTTTTGCCCTTTTAAGACTTTGTGTCTGAAGGTTCGGTTTGTGCATCTCCTTTACCTCTCCCACATCTCCAAGTCATTACTTGCACTTAGCTTTAGGTTTGGTGCATGATGCTGCAAATCCCTTCATTCCACGTCTCCCAAATCATGTCATCTGCTTCGCTTCTGTTTTCCCACCTCTGCTGAGTCTTAACTTTGTATGTCCCTCCAGAGCAAACTGAAGGGTGAGAGAATCATCAGATGATGCATCATGATGTTAGGCAGGCAGCCAGTTAGCTTCATTCCAAAATGTCAAAAAATTCTGAGCTTTTCAAAAGAATTATTGGCACCTACTCTAACTGTAATACTATTTAAGGAAAATTGTTGTAATGATGAGGATTAATTAATTTAAATATGAGTCATGAAATTTTCAGCACTGGTCTTTTTTACACAGAGAGCTTTCCTTCTTTCAGTTTGTTGAAAGTGGCAAAGCAGAACTGCATCAGTTGCATTGGGAGATTGAAAACCCCATCCTATTGCAACAACCAATCCCATAATTTAGTGGTAACCCATAAATTTGTTTCTGAGGTGTTATTTATGGTGTTCTTATGATTTGCTTTGGTTTATAATTGTTGTCATGATGTTACATATGGAGCGAACACTGTTGTTGAGAAAGAGACTATAGATGAAGTCTTCACATATGTTTCTCTTCATAACTTATTTTTAAATTATCATTCATTTAAATTTTCTTGGACTCATTTCTGAATAATTTTCATCATTTTGATATTTTCTAGTATTTACTGAGGTTTCTAATCAGTCAGGAAGACAAAAAATAACATTGTACTTTCCATAATTAGACTAGAAATAATCCAATGACAATCAAAAAATGCGTACTGCCTTTCCACACTGGCTGAGTAGTGAGTGTCTGAGCTGTTCATGAGGAATGTAACATGTTTAATTCCTGCAGTATGATAATGATTAACTGCTGGTCTTGGAGTCGGTCCAGACGAAGTTTATAAGAATGACCTTGGGGATGAAAGTCTTGTTATATGAGGAGTGGTTGAGGACTCTGGGTCTGTACTCAGTGGAGTTTGGAAGGATCTGATAGAAACTTACACAATACTGAGATGCTTGAATGTGGAGAAGACGTTTTCACTCATAGGTCAGACTAGGATCCAAGGGCACAGCCTTAGAGTAAATGGATGACCCTTTAGAACTGAGATGAGGAGGAATCTCTTCAGACTGATGGTGGTGAATCTGTAGAACTCATTGCCACAGAAGACTGTGGAAGCTCAGTCATTGAGTGCATTTCAGACAGAGATAGATTGGTTCTTGATTAGTAACAGGATGAAAGGTTACAGGGAGAAGTGGGGAGAATGAGGTTGAGAAACAAATCAGCCATGAAAGAATGACAGAGAAGACTCGATGGGCCGAATGACCTAATTATGCTCCTATATGTAATGGACACACACACACACATACATACATACACACACACACACACATACACACACACACACACACACATACTTTGTCATTGTTCACTGGCCTGATGGCATTCCCTGACAAGAACATTCTTTATTACTCCAGATATCTTCCTCAGGTTCAATCTTTCAGACTAGTCATAGAGTCGTAGAGGAATACAGGCCCTTTGGCCCAAACCGATCCATGCTAACCATGGTGCCCACTCAGCTAGTTCCAATTGACCACATTTGGTCCATATCCTTCTAAACTGTTCCCATCTATGTATTTATCCAAATGCTTTATAGATGTTGCTATTGTACCTGCCTCAACCACTTTCTCTGGCAACCCATTCCATATACACTCCACTCTCTGTGTGAAGAAGTTGCCCCTCAGTTCTTTCTTAAATCTTTCCTCCCCTCACCTTAAACAAGACTTCACTCCCTATGAGCTGGAATGCATTTTTACATGACTAATGCAGAAGTAATTTCCTGTGAGCTCGGGAATTGAACAGATAATCCCAGGTCATTCTATTCTAGTTTTCTGACCTATTGAACAGTGAAGGTGTAGATATGCAGAAGCCAATGATATGCTGTAGATTTACAATCGTTGCAACCTTAGCGATCCTTACACGAGATAATAAATAACAGCATTGCTAATTCCCAATACAAGCTAATGGTCCCAAATATTAATTTTACATAGTTTTTAAAAAGAAATTGCTTGCTTTCCATGGAATTTCTGCATCCTAACTAAAGTTCTCTGATGTTTATATCTTGACTACATTATTCAAAATGTGATAGGGAAACAGAAAAAATAAATAAGCCTTGTATCCAGGTAGACCTGTCAATTCAACATCTATTTAAAGAAAGTTCATAGGTTAGCTGTGTTTGAAATGACTGGCCTGCCCCCACCATCACCACCTCAGATATTTGTTATAGATCCAACATCTTTCCTGATTCTATGTTGTGCCACAATAAATCATCATTATTGAAGTGAACTTCTCTTTTGAAATATCAATTAAAAGCTGAATACATACTCTAACTCAGAAGTAAAACTAATAGTATTGTGTCTGAGGAACAAAAGCTTTGTTTTGCCACAATGAACACAACACCAAAAAATGACAGTGTTTATGACAGTATGGAGTTACAGGTCTTAATGGAAGGTTCATAAATAACAAAATTGTGTTAGCATATGTTAATTTTGGGACTTGAAAAATATTTTAGTAATTAACCTACTGATGATGAAATTAACCTAACATTTACCACCATGAACTGAAAGATTCATGAATGAGCCATTACATTGGATTACATATGTTATGAGGTACAGGAGCAGGACTCAACTAGTTGATGTTGGTGCTGTGTTGCCCTTAGGCTTCATCACATTTTATACATGTCATTATGTAAGGTTGCACCACAGGTTAGCAACTGCATATAAAAGACAAGCCAAACACTGGATTTTAGTGCAGTTCTGATTGCCACAATATTAAAAGAATGCAGAGAAAATGGAGAGGGTGCAGAGTTGATTTCCAAGAATGATACCAGAACTGTAAAGAATTATTAGGCTGAGTCTATTCACTCCTAAAAAAGGAGATGGAAGAAATGACCTAATAAGGGTCTTTAAAATTATAAAAGGTTTTTATAGATTGGGCACAGACAGAATATTTACATCAGCAGCAAGGAGCTTGCTAGAATCTATGATAAAAGGTGTGATGAATAGACACTTGGATAATAATGATATGATTGTACGTAGTCACCATGGATTTGCAAATGGCAGATTTTGTTTGACAGATCTGTAAGGGCAAAAGACATAGGAGCAGAAGTAGTCCATTCAGCCCATCAAGTCTGCTCTGCTGTTTAATGAGTTCATGACTGATTTGATAACCCTCAGCTCCAATTTCCTGACTTTTTCCCATTTCCCTTCATTCCTTTACTGATTAAAAATCCATCTATCTTGTCCTTAAATATACTTAACAATCCTGCCGCATTAGCCCTCCATGGTAAAGATGTCCACAGATTCACAACCCACTAAGAGGAGGAATTCTTCCCCCATCTGTGACTTAAATGTAAGACTTTCGTCTGAGATTATGCCCTCTAATCAGGTTTAGTGAGTGGGCAAGAACATTGTAGATGGAATATAAAGTGGGAAAATGTGAGGCTATCTACGCTGGTAGTAGTCACAGATGGGCAGAGTGTTTCTTAAATTATAAGATGTTGGAAAAAGTAGATGTACAATGGGATTTAGCTTTTAGTGACAAGGACACCCAACATGCAGATATAGCAAATTATTAGAAAGGATAATGGAATGTTAGCCTTAATAGCGAGAAGAATTGTGTACAGGAGTAGTGGAGTCTTGTTTAAATCGTATAGCAACTTGGTTAGACCGCACTTGGAGTATTGTGTGCAGTTTGCCTCCATGTCTCAGGAAAGATATTATCATCATAGAGGGTGTGCAATCAGGGTTCATTAGGCTTGTTCCCAGGACGTTGGGACTGTCCTATTATGAGAGATTGGACAATCTGGCCTCGTATTGTCTAGAATTTCAGAGAATGAGAGGTAATCTCATTGAAGTTTACAAAATATTTTAAGGGATAGATAAGGTAGATTTAGGTAAGACATTTCCCCGGTTGGAAAGACTGAAACCAAGGGGCTTAATTTGAAAATAAAGGGCATACCTCTTAGGTCTGAGATGAGAATTTTTTCTTTACTTAGAGGGTTATAAATCTTCAGAACTCATGACCATAAGAGGGCTCAACCATTGAGAATGTTTAAGGTAGACATTGATAGATTTCTGCTTACTAATTATGTACAGGTTATGGGGATGGGGCGTGTAAAAGGCATTCAGTGTTTGATCAGCCATGATAGTATTGGATGATGTGACACAGTCAATGGGCTGAATGGCTTATTCCTGTTCCTATCTTCCTAATTCCTCTTGTGGAGAGAAACATGACTAAAGGACGTCAATGGACAATAATTACCAAGAAATCCAATCGGAATCTGAGAAGGAATTTATTTGTTCAGGAGTGGTAAGAATGTAGTTATGTGGATGATGGCATAACTGTGAGACTGTATAGAATACTACTCAGTACACCAAGTGTCTTTGTATTATCAATGCCTTTGTACCAAATGTCAATTGATACCAATGGTATTTTGAACCAGAATCTCTTTCGTATACAAATTAGGGAATAATCAGGCACTATCTACTGATTATGGTCAAAATTGAAGGTCTGTTCCCTCTTTTCCATTTGTTCAGAAATGGTAACATTGGAATAAAGATCACATCAAAACTGTTTAAATAGATGATAGATTGTAATATGGGACTTGTGCCCCAATTCCATGGTTCAGAAAATAGATTGTAACCTGTTTAAATTCTTTCTGACAGGCACCAGACCATTTTTGAGCTGCCCGTAATCCTTTGTGGAATTGCTCTCTGGCTAAATTGAAATTATTCATTGGTTTGCATCCAATGATTCTTTGCAGATCTAACCGTTATAATAAAGAAATCCTTACATTTATATCATGGAACATTACATCCATGGGTTGTCCCACTTGGTAACAACTGGATGACTTTTCCATGTGAAATCACTGTTGTATTAATAAACCAATATATTAAGAACAACAACAATTTGTTTTTTATGCCTTTAACATTATAAACCATCAAAGTGCTTCACAGAAACATTGTAAAGCAAGATTTAATACCAAACTACATAGTGACATGAATGTAAACAACACCAGAGGGGAGTATCTTAAAGGAGGAAAGAGGTAGGAAAACAAAGAGATTTAGGGAAGACATTTCAGAGCTTTGGGTCTAGGGACTGAAGGCTCGAGCATGAATGGTGGAATGACAAATATTGGGGATATTCAAGAGACCAGTATAAGATTGCAGGTATCTTGGAAGCTTGAGCGCCTGGAAAAGCATTGTCAGTTACGTAAATAATTTAGATGAGAATATAGAAGGCACGGTTAGTAAGTTTATGGATGACACCAAAATTGGTGGCATTGTAGACAGTGAAGAAGGTTTTCTAAGATTACAAAGGGATTTTGATCAAATGGGTCAATGGGCCGAAGAATGGCAGATGGAGTTCAATCTGGATAAAT